TTAATGAAAACATTGCTGATTCTAAAACAGTTTTGCTATTGGCTAACGACCAGTAAATGGGTGCTAGTTTCAACTGCAGTTGCATTGTGGTGCAATTGGACGGCCTCTAATTTTAGCCAACTGAATGATTGCGAGTGAACGACTAGAAGGCAGGATGTTCAATAAAGCCCAGGATGTGCAATAAAGACCAGGAGATTCAAGAAAGGATATTCAATCAGTGTAAATTGCTAGTAATCACGTATGGATCACGTATGGTACTGAGACTTGGTCCCTAACTTCTGGTCTCCACATAGACTCAGAGTAGCAGATCGCTATGAAGAGTAAAGAAACCTGGTGGGCAGGCCTCTCGCTACTAGCAGGCCTATCTTGTGAGAACTTAGTGAACATATTCTGGAAGTTTCTAGAACACTTACCCAATTTGAAGGGGGGAGTGGTCTGGAATTTGGATTCTCTGGGTCAGGGATACCATCATCCCAGATAAAGAAGTCCTCATATATCGGATTTCTCGCTTCGGACTCTATGAAGTACTCGGATTCATTGCTCGCGTGGTTCGGCACGAAGTCCAATAGTAATTTTATTCCTGCACAGAAAAAATGTCTACATAATACTTATCTTTGTGCAATTTCATATGTTACATCATAATATCATTTACAGTAGTTACTACATATTTACATGTCCTCGGAAATTAGAACATTCTACAAAATGGCCTAATTGTTAGTAATAAGACTACGTATGTGGTATAGGCATATATAGAATTATTCCTTGTTATCATATTATCGACAAAGGATTATTAGTTTTTGATAGATTGCTTTGAATCAGTGCATTGATAACATCTATATCTGTAGGATTGATCTTCCAGTCATTTGTTTAAAGGTATATTGGGTTTGATATCGTGCTTAAATTAGTGTAAGACTGTTAGATTAGTACTGCGATAATGTTCAGATGCTTTTTTTCATATAAACCGCACTTGGATTTTAATCTCTATGCGTCTACAAATACTTTACTATTTCGCATACACATTACCCCTACCGATAAGACCTTTGCATAATTAAGTCTGAATTAAATACACTTTTACCAATTTGTAATTCCGACGTTTACCTTCACAATGCTAGTGTTAATTGTTATTTTTAAAAAATACTTATCGCTATTTTAATAGGTAGGTATATAAGTCTTATCATCATATACCCGTGAAACTGCGTACAGAAATCAGTAATTTGCTTGTTAAATACGTTTATCTAAGCTTACGATCGGAATATCTCATTATGATATTTACATATATCTTGTGAACAATATTAATTTGTGATAAGCATGTCTTGGCCACACGTACTGACCGCCAATGGCGCAAAAATAATCAATATTGCAAATTAGCGTAATCTATATAAATAAATATGTACTTCTGTTGTTGTGTTGCTAAAACTCGAGAAGGGTTGAACTGATTTGGCTAATATTGGTATTGAAACGTTCGTCGAAGTCTAGGGAAGGTTTAAAAGAAAAAAAAATTAGACGGTACGAAGTTTGCCGGGTAGTAGATATATGCCAATGGTTATTAGAGTTCATTTCATAAATCCTCCCTTAGTAAAACCCTAAAATTTCCACAGAGCTTTCGTAACCACATGGTATAAAAAACTTACCAAGTTCATGAGCCCTCTTAAGTAGCTGATCAAACTGTTCCATGGTACCATACTCTTCGTGGATTTCATAGAAGTTGCTGATGTCGTACCCGAAGTC